TGCTAATTTGGTTTAATTATAAATTTTCATAAATAGGGCTTTGAGGAGGCTAAAAATAATTAGGAATTAGCTGCGTAATGTTGACCACAATGTAGAGGAGTTATTTGTTTGCAGAATCCCATTAAACTAGTAAAGACTTGTAAATTTTAATGGAGCTAGGCACATAAATTATGTGAAATTTAAATGATTATTATTTTTTATAATTTGTCGACCATTAATTTTTGTAAAATTTATTTTTATAATACTCCAATTATTACTTTTAAGTTATTTTAAAATATATATTATATTGCTTGAAATATAATATATGTTATAATATGGGATCTTATTTTTTGAAATACTAATTTTTAGCTTAGATAAAGTTCCTTTTGGCATATTGTCATGCTTTGATTTCACATTCACGCATCTCTTGCATATGAAGAAACTTAATAAATTTTATTTAGTAAATAGTATTCTTCGTATATTGAATATCAACTAGGATGAATTAATTGGTTTATCTACATAAACTCAATTGAAATAATGAGACTTAATTTCTTAATAATTGATACGTTATCAATTATTTATCTTGATCGGACACAAATCTCGATGCAAAATCAAATTGGAAACTTCCAAAATTAAAATTGGGATCATCCGAACTCCGATTACAACAAACTTACATTCGAATTGAGCGTCTCGGAAATACAAACCCAACGATACCAAAATCAACTCAGTCCGAGTCCAAATGGACCCAAATCATGGGTTAGAAGCACTGTTGGAAGGTTATAGTCGAATCAAGCTTATAGTCAAATCGAGCGGCTTGACGAGACAAATCCAACGTGCCCATGATCAATGAATTCCGACGCCAATAAGACCTTCAAATGTCCATCAAACGGTCCATGATCAAGGGATTCAACATCGGCCATCCATTCGAGCACTCCCCCATTACCCTTGATCTCTCACCTTTTTACAGGCCATGCTACTCCAGAAAATCTATAAATAGACCCCTCATTTCTCATGAGAGGGGGACCGGAGCATGAAGAAAAGAGGAGAAGGGAAGGAAGAAGCTCCTCCTCGACCACTGCCGGACTTCTGCCGAACCACCGCTGGACTTCTGCCGAACCACCGCCAGACTTCCGCCTGGCCACCACCTGTGGTTCAGACTTTTGACGGACCACCACTTGAGGCCCTCGCCTGAGACCTTGTGCTCCACCATGCCACTAACTGTGGTTCAGACTTCTGCCGGACCCCCACTTGAGACCTTCACCTCCGCCGGACCACCGCCTGATGCCATTGCTCCGCCGGACTACCACTTAAGGCCCTCACCTCTATCGAACCACCGTCTGGTGTCGTTGCTCCGCCGAACCACCACTTGAGGCCTTGTGCTCCACCATGCCACCACCTGTGGTTCGGACTTCTTCCAGACCACCACTTGAGGCCCTCACCTCCGCGGGACCACCGCCTGATGCCGTTGTTCTGCCAGACCACCAATTGAGGCCCTTACCTTCGTCGGACCACCGCCTGATGTCTTTTCTCCACCGGACCACCACTTGAGGCCTTGTGCTCCATCAGGACACCACTTGTGGTTCCGACTTCTGTTGGACCACCACTTGAGGCCCTCACCTCCGCCCAAAGTCGTTGTTCCACCGGACCACCACCTAAAGCTCAGACTTCTGTCGGACCAGCACTTGAGGCCTGGGCTTCCGCCAGACCACTACTTGGGGCCCAATGCTCCACCAGGCCACCACCTAATGCCTGGACTTCTTTCGGGCCACCACTTGATGCCCAGAGTTCTCCCAGAATACTGCCGGCTATGGTTCTTCTGACCTCCGTCACTTACTATGGTCCATCCGACCTCTATCAACAGACAACGGTCTTTCTGACCCCGGTCTCATGCCAACTATGGTCCTTCTGACCTCCGTCACCTACTATGGTCCATCCGACCTCCATCAACAGACAACGGTCTTTCTGACTCTAAACTCATGCCGACTACGGTCCTTCTGACCTTCATCGCCTACTATGGTCATTCTGACCTCCATCAACAGACAACGGTCTTTCTGAACCCGGTCTCCTATTGACTACGATCCTTCCGACCTCTGTCGCCTACTATGGTCCTTCCGACCCCAATCACTAGACAATGGTATTTCCGACCTCCATCCTATCGATTATGGTCGTGCCGATAAAACAAACACATTTATTGTAACTCCCTCCATGTAATGCACTCTATATGATGTACATTTGTGACATCAAGCCAAGGCCTTCTCCTAAGGAAGGGTCTCATTTGTAATCGACTACAAATACTAGTGGAGTCATTCAAACTGGGCCAGGCCCTATGGTTCTTCCCCCTTTTTAGGGGTTTTTCACGTAAAAACTCTGGTGTCTCTTATGAATGTTACACCCTCTCACTTATCTAATTGTGTGTTGGATCTTCGTACAATGCTAAGATGTTAAACTATATATTTCTCTACTGCCGCGAATACTCCAGGATGCAACAGTAATATATTTATTATTATCAAAATCTAATAGCCATTACAACTTCACTATATCAACAATATTTCTTATTTTTTATGACAATAAATTTACTTGAGATTTGTTTTATTAAAATTTTTATTTCTTTTTCAATTTTCATCATGCTTCTTATTTTCTTATACGTCAATGTTCCAGAAACAAGATAAATAACACATACTCTAACCTAGATAAAATAACAAAATAGATATAATCTTTTGGGTTTTCTCCTAACAAACGATACATTTAATACCTTCAAAAAGGCTATGCTAATAATTATTCAAGATCAGACAATGCTAAGACACTCCTAGATCGATCTAGATCCCCACCCAAATAAGGCTTAAGTTTATGACCATTAGCTTTACATGAATGGCTAGACTTTCTATAATGAATTTCTATAACTCTACAAGGATATACTCTAATGACGGTGAGTAAACTTGACCATCTAGACTTTAACTTTCTTGTAAATAATCTTAATTTAGAATTACACAATAATAGCTCTTATCAAGGTGTAAATTCTTTCCTAATGATCTTACAATCATGTCATTTCTTACTTTGCTCTATAAAAATTTTTACATTTTTGTAGGCATCTAAAATGAATTCCTCAAGTTCATTCAACTACAACAATCTCTTTTCCTTTATAGCCCAAAAGCAATATATTCTAATTCTACTTGCAAGTGGCAAGCTTTACCAAAAACAAATCTATAGGAATACATTCCAAAAGGAATCTTAAATGTTCTAAAGTCTTAACGAGCAGGATATCGTCGTGAGCCGGTGAACTATCTAATCTACAACTCTTGCATTCTTCTCCTTTTTTTCTTACTCTTTAGTTGTTCTGCTCTACATCGATCGTCGACGATTGCCATGGCGGATAAGTTTCTTGATCCAATCATGGAGAAGCTCATCAGCGCTGGCTTCCGTTACCT